CATTCAGTCTCTCCTAGCAGGTCTTATATATACGCCTGCGGGATGAAAACATAAGGCTTAATGAGTCTTTGGGTTGACCAGAGTTTGAGAGTATAATGTATATAATTGGTTCACTTCACCCTGAACCCATTCTCCCACAATGATTTGGTGCGTGTTTTATTATTTTCGGGCTGTTCTTTCACCTAACGTGCTTGAATTATTAATGTTCTTTCCTTGCTGAGTGGTTAGAGAATTTTTGTTCTTCATCTCGTATTCCAGCATTTCTACACATATTTTTCAATAGATTGTTGATGGTGTTCTTGCCCATTGATTGTTTGGTAAACCAGATATTGGATGTTTGGTGTGATCAATCCCAAGGTAGAATGGTGAATCAGAGGTGCATGCCTCTGGTGGTCGCTTTTCTGCAAACCTCTTGTAGGCTAAAATGGGGTCACCCTTCCGATCATTACATGGCCACATGGTGGGCTTTACCTTTCGTACAGTAAGTCACGGAGATTTTCTCCAGATCTTGTTTTCGTCTGGCGCTCAGTATATTCGAGAAACTCGAGGCCAGAACCAGAAGTATCCATTCTAAGGCATATGTCTCCCCAGCGAAGATCTCGATTTTCTCGGCAGCCTCGCAACCCGAAATGTGCGGTGTTGCTCCACCAAAGCATGTTGACAAGTGTCCGGGCACTGTGCGTTCCAAATTCCCCCCTCTCGTACAATAAAGCGACTTCTTCGTCAGACAATGAGCGGGCAGCATTCGGTTTGCTTCCTTTACCAAGGCTTTTAAGCTCTTTTTGTTTCGCTTTAAGGGATTTTCTTGTCTTATTAAAGCAAGGTGATTCTATTATCTGTTCAGGATAATATTTTTCTTTTAAGTGCCGGTTAAAAGAAGCAAATATACTTCGCAATGACAAGGGCTCGTACTCGCTGCCGTCTGCCTTTCATACAGCAGCAAAAAACTCGAACATGTACAAATCCAATCTTATTGGCTCTATTGTCTCCACATCCTCGTCGGTATTCTGAACTTCTTGAAAAACTTGTTTAAACAAACTTAGATCATATTTTGTCTTTCGTTTTGTATTGTCGTTCTAGTTTTCCTCGACAATATATATATATATATATATATATATATATATATATATATATATATATATATATATATATATATATATATATATATATATATATATATATATATATATATATATATATATATACTGGGTGGGGAAAAAAAAAGTACGACTGTTTGAATTGCTGCAAAAGCAAAACTAAAAGAGCAATGACACTAAAACAAGTTTAGTGGCATTCAGCAATATCAAACTTAAATATTCATATATGCCATGCACATTTCGATGCCATATTGAAAAAGATACATGCATTTAAACAGGAGTAAACATTCTTGGAACTGACGAAATTAACTAAAAATGGCTTGTTAAATATTAATATATACTCAAATTGTGTGGTTGCTGATCATGTGGCACATTCCAGATTTTATGTTTCAAATAGCCCCAAATAAAAAAAAATGCATACTGTTAGATCAGGGGAGCGATGGCAAAGGCCAATCGTCACATTTACTCATAACTCAGCCAGGGAATTGTTTTCGAAGGTATTGCATTGCTGGTATGAGAAGGAGCTTCATCTTGCTGCCACCACATGCACAGCAAAAAATCATTTTCTTATTTTAAGAAAAAAACAACTTGTTTTAAGAAAATTTTCTTGAAATAAGAAAATATTTTCTTGGGAGAATAACAAGAAAATTTTCTTAATAAGAAAATTTTCTTAAGAAAATTTTTCTTATTAAGAAAATTTTCTTGAGAGAAATTCCTAAATTGAGAAAATATTTTCTCATTTTAAGAAAATATTTTCTCAAATCAAGAAATTTGTCTTAAAAAGAATTTTCTTATTAAGAAAATTTTCTTGTTATTCTCCCAAGAAAAAAAATTCTTGAAATAAGAAAATTTTCTTAAAATAAGAAAATAATTTCTTATTTTAAGAAAATAATTTCTCAAAACAAGAAATTTTTCTTAAAAAGAATTTTCTTATTAAGAAAATTTTCTTGTTATTCTCCCAAGAAAAAAAATTCTTGAAATAAGAAAATTTTCTTAAAATAAGAAAATAATTTCTTATTTTAAGAAAATAATTTCTCAAAACAAGAAATTTTTCTTAAAATGAATTTTCTTATTTGGCACAATAATCCACTCCAACATGCAGAGTGTTGATGATATAAAATAAACGTAGGAGTACACTCAAATAGAAAAAGACAGTGCATTCACTGGTTTATTGGAGCAATTGTAAAGTTTTGAAACACTATTATCTCCCCTGAATAGAGTTTGCAGTGCCTTCTCATGCAAATAGCTTGCTCGGAAGGAACATTTGGATTTTTATGAACATTATTTTTAGTTTTTAATTCTTTTAGGAAATAGACTTGCCTAGATTTAATCTTTATGCCCCAATTATTATTTACATCGGAGTTGCATCATAAAATGTATTCGGATTCAAACGACACAATGTCAATGACTTTATAAAACTGGTAAAAGCATATTGTGTATTGGCCTATTAGGTTCATTTTACGTTTAACACTCCCAAGTCTCATCAGACAATCGGACATGCCAAATCCATTGATATGACCACTTCAAAAAACTTTTTCAAAGCTAGGAATCATGATTTTTTTAAATTTCTCCAGGGATACTTTGTTTTCTGCTCTCTAGACTCCCCCTCACATCTCTAGTGCTCCACCTCTAGAATATAGACCTTACTGGGGTATGGTAACACTTTGTGATGCTTCAGTCACCTGCTCACGGCTCCACCCCCCTAAAATTTCTGGCACCATGCACCACAGTAAAAAATATGAAAATCTGTCTATGTTAAAAAGACAGACGAGTATTAATTTTATGACTTATTATTTATAATATAATTAATTTATAATATAATTCATTAATATAATTAATTTAATACTATTTATAATATAATATCATTCTTATCTAATACAAAGGGTTTATTGTTTAATGTTATAATCGGCCAATCACCTGTTCATATTGGTAGAAGACGAATGAGGGAGTATTAAACTACATATGTTTTATATAAATTTTATTAAGCAGAGACATGGCTGTAGGCAGATACAGATGTCCTGGATTCAGTTATCAAGTGCCCAGTTAGCCTGCTCAGTGCCCAGTAGACTATTATCCCTTATTCACGCACCAAAGCTGCAATATTAAGAAATGTAATAATTTGTCCAATACCATATCACACAGTTACTGACAGTATAGTTTACTTCCGGTTGCTGTTCATGATTCTTTAAACCAGCTGTACAATGTATTTATATGGAAGCTGGGCTGGACCGCTTGGCGGGACAGCCCGGTAAGCAAGATCTTACTGCATTAGGTATATTTATCTAGAAAAAATTATCATGTGTTTATATGGATCCACAAGCAGGCTAGCTCTGATGTCACAATGTTGCTTATTGGGATGAAAATTTATCCAATACCATATCATACAGTTACTGACAGTATAGTTTACTTCCGGTTGCTGTTCATGGTTCTTTAAACCAGCTGTACAATGTATTTATATGGAAGCTGGGCTGGACCGCTTAGCGGGACAGCCCGGTAAGCAAGATCTTACTGCATTAGGTATATTTATCTAGAAAAAATTATCATGTGTTTATATGGATCCACAAGCAGGCTGGCTCTGATGCCACAATGTTGTTTATTGGGATGAAAATTTCTCCACATATACACTCACAAGCAGGCTGGGCCAGGATGAATGTTCAAGATGCCGAGCTGCAAGCTATTTTTAACAACTGTCAAAACAATGTCAACATAACAAAATTGTCCCGGCAAGCAGGATGGCATTTTCTCATATAAACACAATCTTGAACTGTATTAGTGATGCACCGATATATGGAAATTCACCGATATTCTGATAACTGATAATAAAAGACCAATACTTTGCCGATACTGATATTCCATGTCATTTCACGAAATTCAAAGATGACTGATACACCAATATGGATATCGGTACATCAGTAGGCGAGTTACCCGGCAAGGTGAGTTACTCACTCAGGCAGGACAAAAAAGCAGTCTATTTATATGAAATCAAGTTACCCCATTATTGCTGCGCAATGACAAAATACAAACACAATTTGGATCATTCAAAAGGTTTAAAAAACATGATTACAAAATAGGCAAGAATAAGCTGCTTATAGAAATAGAGGAAAGCTATAAACATACCTAATGATTTGTATGTATTCCTGGGCTATTCATTCTATCTAGGGTTGCAGAGTTTCCCGGGTGAAGTACACATAGTAAGTCGGGAAAACTAAAATTCTATACAGCAGCCAAGTTATCCGGCAAGGCAAGTAGGAAAATCCTCTGGCATTAGACAGAGTAAACAATAAAGTAGGATGCAATTCTGCTATTCAGCTATCTATACACTGAAAATATCAGATTAAATGCTGTCATTCTCCTGTAATTCCAATCCTTATTCAAGTATTAAAATGCTAACAGATCTTCAAAAACATCCGTATGTATAATATCTTATTTCATATCACTATATAGCCTTGAGTCTTGACATTTGAAAGGTCTAGCAAACTGCCAATGTCAAAGGCAATTTAGTATTGTCAAATTGTTAATATTAGTGCGTAAATTAGTACGGAATTCACAACAATAGATATGAATTTATATTTTAATCTTTCGTCCCTTGCCTGAAAGCAACATTTGCATGTTTTATATGCAAAACAAACGCGGCAAATTCAAACATTCAATGGAATATTTTCACACTTCGCTCAAGTAAACAGTCACAATCACTACATTATTTCGCAATGAATCTGTTTAAATAACAAGTCAAATATACAATTATTCTTACCTGTGGTATCTGAACAACATTCTAAGGACTTTCTGATGCTTTTCCAATCGTTATTTGCCATTTAAATCGCCCTTGAAGGCGCTCATGGATATTTATATAAAACTTTTCACAAAAATGTAAAACGACGCTATCCCGCGATGCTCCGCGTTCTAAAAGGTGAACTAGGTACCAGGCGTTTAGAGAATACGCGAACTATTCCTGCTTGGATAAAAATTCCGGAGTGCAAAAATTCTCTTCAACGATTCAATAAAACTGAAACGAGCTCAAATTTTGGAAACGAAATAAAAACAAAGTGACTATATTACCGGCAGCCGGTCTAACTCTCAAAAGGTTAGGGTTAGAGGTTAGGGTTAGAGAAGGGTTTGGGATTGGGCATCGGTTTATCTATCTTATACTGATTACTGAAGATTCAACTTTAACTATATAGTCAATGTACTGCCGACCATTTAGTGTTTGATCAACCGTGAGCTGCTGGTCATATAGTCTCTTCAATTCGAAATAAAAACTACAAATTTACCTGACGCAATAAGATATACGTTGTTCTAAGTCTTGTTAAGATATAAGTTCTCCTATAACACTAGCTAGCCTGATTTTACATTTTCTTGCTTCGAAAATTTAAGTAATAATGTCTTACTATTTAATAACTTTGTATTTTAAGAATTTCATTTCTTGTCTTACGAACATATTCTTAAAGTAAGAAAATCGTATTTTCTTATTTTAAGAAAATGTTTTCTTATTAAATAACACTAGCTAGCCTGATTTTACATTTTCTTGCTTCGAAAATTTAAGTAATAATGTCTTACTATTTAATAACTTTGTATTTTAAGAATTTCATTTCTTGTCTTACGAACATATTCTTAAAGTAAGAAAATCGTATTTTCTTATTTTAAGAAAATGTTTTCTTATTAAGAAATTTTTTTCTTGTGTTAAGAAAAAGATATCTTGGGATTCAAAAATTTCTTATTTCAAGAAAATTTTTTCTTACTAAGAAAATTGTTTTCTTATTTTAAGATTTTTTTTCTTAAATTAAGAAATTTTTTTCTTAATAAGAAAATGATTTTTTGCTGTGTGTCATCCCTATCGATATTTTGAACACGAATGTCTCTCTGTACAACGTTGTAACGAATGATTCTGAGATACTCTCTCGTGTTGAAATTTCTTTCAACAAAGTGTGAGCCAATAACAACAGAACTCCTCAAACCAACCCACTAATTGAAACAACAATCGCGAGAAAATGGTAATGGTTATTCAATTGGTTTTAATACGGGCCTTTTGCTTAAGTTTAAACACAGTTATCTCGGTCAATATTGCATGAAAAGGTACAAGACATATATCAAAATTTAAGTTAAACATCGTGGATGATACTGTGACTTATTTAAGTGTAATAGCTCTTTTACTTGCCCCACCCGGTATACATATATATATATATATATATATATATATATATATATATATATATATATATATATATATATATATATATATATATATATATATATATGTCAATATTGCATGAAAAGGTACAAGACATATATCAAAATTTAAGTTAAACATCGTGGATGATACTGTGACTTATTTAAGTGTAATAGCTCTTTTACTTGCCCCACCCGGTATACATATATATATATATATATATATATATATATATATATACTATTTATAAACCGAGTGAGAGGGCTTTATCGGTGCATATAGGCGCGAGCCGAAGGCGAGCGGCTATAGGCACCGATAAAGCCCAATCACGAGGTTTATAAATGACTTCTAAAATTCACCTTTTGTTTTGGGTCCCAATGAAATAATAAGAAATGCTAACTACAATAGTTCTATTGTTTTACGATTCTTCCCTTCATTGATCAGCAAGCAAATTAATGACTGCATTAATTATCAAGTCATACAAGTCGTTAAACGGAGTTTTCAAATGGAAATTTGAACATATTTGACTTGTTTTGTTAATGAGTCGGTTTCAAAGCGCTCGAGCTGCTGAAGAGGAGCAAACGTTGCTCGAAAGATCGATGCCGCCAAGTACAAGATACGCGACAAAGTGGGCTTTGACGATTTCTGATTCCTGGAGAGCTGCTAGAAAGGTTAATTTAATTAAAGAAGTGAAGATGGACGATGGTGGTCATGAAACTGATGATATTGGCCCAAACCATACATTAACTACATCGCTGGCGGAGATGAATGAAGCGTCTTTAGCATTTTAGTTAAGTAAGTTTGTTGGGTTTAAAGAGTTTAAAGTGGTGTGTAATAAAAAACGAAATGGTTGTTAATCCCGTGTTTAAAAATTGTAACATTACCTTTAACTTTGGAAAATAAAGTATTTATTGATTTCTCGAATATTTGAGTTTTTATTAGGAACAGATTAATAAACATTTTGTTAAAGAATGCTTTATAAAGGTACATGTACCTTTATCATAAAGGTGCATGTGGTCTATATATGAATTTTAAATCAGCACACACCGATCTATATCACGGTATATAGGGGTCATCATGTGACGAGATTTTAAGAAATTCATTGGCTAATTAGCTCATGAATTATTCATGAATTTTAGAAATATATATATAGGTTGAAAATGTTCTAGAGTGTACGTACTTCATAATTTCTAGACCGCGCGTAAGCAGAAACATATTGCCTGCCGCGGCTCATGGTCTTGAACCCGCGACCTTCGAATTACTACATCGACGCTTTACCAACTGAGCTACACGGTCAGATGGATTTAAGACTGGAAATTATATGAACTATATACTGAATGTAATAAACATACTCGTTTGTATCAATTCAGCATTGAAGTGTTATGTTATGTTATGTTGTGTTATTGTACACTCCGTAATATGGTATCGTAATATCAGTCTTAAATCCGTCTGACCGTGTAATTCGAAGGTTGCGTTTTTAAGACTCAGCCTCGGCAGGTAATATCTTTTCTGCTTGCGCGCGGTGTGGAAATTATGAAATAAATACACACACTAGAACATTTCAACTTATCATATTACGGAGTGTACAATAAGTTAATACAACATAACAAGGCACTTGCAGAACTAATATTGTTCGATGCTGAATTAATATAAACAAGACGCCTGCTCAGGCGTTCACACTGACCTGAAAATGACGACATACGTGCTATGGTGCAGTAGACAAGAATACAAGTCGTAAACCGCAAGCAAATTGTATAGATTTAAAAAAAAAGACCTTTTCGGGAGACCTATGGTGCAGATCTATAACTAGGAGTTACTATCGCAAGGAAAGTGATGCCTTTTTGTCACGTGAACTGAATGCAAAAGTTTGTATTTCTAAACAATTCTCTAAAGGGAAGTTTACTTTTGATCCAATGGCTTCATTTACACGTTTCATCATTTGTAGCATGGCAGACCTGCACATGAAGGTTATATCCCCTATGTTTCCTGCACAAATTTGTTTCTCGTTCATCATTTAAGCCCAATCGCAAGCTTATTCTTGAATTGTATGCACGGAGTACGAGTAAATAACCAACATGAAAATGAGGCCATTGGGTCAAAGGTGGATTTTAAGGTCTCCTAACCTATTAGCGGGCTATGCAAACTACTTTCAGTAATAAATCTGACCAACGCTAGACAAATTTTAAAGATTTTCAAAAAATTACTTTTTAAAAACGTTTTAAAAAAGTTTTAAAAGAGTTTTAAAAAGCAAAAAAAGTTTAAAAAGTTATATTTTCAAAAAAATTGAAAAAGTTTAAAAAGTTAGGGTTAGGGGTTAGTGGTTAGGGGTTAGAGTTAGGGTTAGTGTTAGGTGCTGCGAATTTATTATGATGATAAATTCAAAATGTACCGCGAATTTATCATAATGATAAATTCGGACGTGTTTAAGAATTTACTCATATAGTAAACTCAAAGGTGGAGCTCATGCTGCTAATTGTAAATTTCTCAGCTAGCATTTACCTCCCCCCCCTTTAAATCGAAAAGCACCATTGTAATCCTGCGGGGGCGGGGGTCAAATGCCGTCACAACATTACACAAACCAAAACAATAATAATTTCATACCGAGAAAAAATCTTGAATATCTTCTGACTCTTCAGAATTTGTTCAGAGTTAATGTGAATAAAATACGTCTTGCATTCAAGCGCTTTCATGTACAAAATTTCGTTTGAATACGGCGCAGAGTAGAAATATTTATTTTGAATTTTTCAAAATATCGGGTTTTGACTCGCACGCACGCGCCTCGTTCATGCTTGGCCATATTTTATAGCCCAATCGATGTACGTTAAAACCTTGCCACTGGGAGTACTTTGACCTACAGAATCGATTTCCGGTTTTTCAGACCTCTACGATTTAATTAAACGGCGCATTGTTCTGGCTACCGTTTATGGGCCGTGTTAGAAATACAAATATATATATATATATATATATATATATATATATATATATATATATATATATATATATATATATATATATATATATATATATATATATATATTCATAATGTTTTGTTTTATGGCAGCCTGTTTCATCATGGCGCACGCGAATTCGTCACGCGAAAAGTGACACATTCGACCTACCAATGCGCAATACAACGTTAATGTAAGCACACAGATTTTGTCTGGCGTAGAACGTACTAACTTTGCCCTACTATTATAATTGTAAATATTTTCATCTGGAAAAGATAGTTTTAGCGCAAATTATATATCGACTTTGTGCGAGATATTGCTGTATTCGTTCCATTATTTTCGGCGCATGTACTAAAACACGGAACACTAATCCGGAACACCGGAACAACCTGGAACACCGCCGGAACTCCCTGGAACACCTCCGGAATAGCCCGGAACACCTCTGGAACAGCCCGGAACATCTCCGGGACATCCCGGAACACCTCCGAAACAGCCCGGAACACCACCGAAATAGAACGGAACAGTCGGAAACAGCCCTGAACACCACCGGAACACCTCCGGAGTTGTGAATTTTAACCATTTAGTCGCCAAATAAGGGCTATCTTTAAAATAGGGAATGCGGGAATGAACGAATGGAGAAATGGTACAACTTCATTAACACGACACGCATTAAAACGTATGCCATGAACATCTTTTGTTGTTTCAGAGTATAAAAGAAGTTATCTTAAAGTATCCGTTTGTTAAAAATATACGGCTGGACTCAAGCCTTTGTTTCTTATAATTAATAGAATCTAGTATTGTATTAACATAATTAAACAAAAGAAAGTATAAAAATAAGTGTTTATCAGGCAATGTACAGTGGGCACCTGAATTAAGAGCAAAAACTAACAGACCATTTCCGAATTACGCTCTAGAATAACACCATGTTCAGGTACTGTGCTTATCAGTACTCAAAAACGTTAGTGTCTGACAGTGTCTGCGGTAAATGTGAAACCTAATTGAGAAATGGTATATAGATAGCATTTTTAATGTAGTATGATTTACGCCGTTAAAGCCGAACGAAGCGTCAGTGCTTATCAGTACCATAAAATATTACATTTTCGCACAGCGCCAAAATTTAAACTCTTCACATGAAACAACCGTAACTGTTCTTTTCAATTTGAAATATTTAGACTAATCTAAACGCCAAGAGTGGGTAGTAGCGAAGTAGTTGTAGTTCGCTACTGTAGCGAACTACAATTTTCAAGTAGCCAGTAGTTTTTGCCTACATTTTTAAAACAGTAGCTGTACCGGGTGTCCCAAAAAAAAGTACTCCGGTTTCATTTACAATAACTTCTAAACAGGTAAAGCTATCAAACTGAAATGACTTGCATTAAATAGAGGAAGGACTAACTTAGATTTTGATATATTACAGTTGTACTTTACTTAAAAATTCAGGGAGATATTAATGTTCAAAATCGGGAGCATATTTTGGGATGTGTCTAAAATTAGCGAAAATCGGCATATCAAATATTAACTCCAGCGTTTGTTTGCTTAATGACATATCAGGCTAACTTGTATTTCAGCGAATTGTCGTTGGTTTGTAATGGATATGGCGTAGATTTAGACATCTTACATGTAAGTCTTAGCTCATTGTTTCCTGAAAATGAACGTTCGAAATTATACAAGTATTTAATAGTAAATAGGTCTTTACAAACTTAAAGGTACATGAAAGACCATGCAAGACAGGCGCTTAAATTTTTCTTCAGTAACCTAATTTTTTATGTTTTATGGGTTCAAAACAGAACTGATTATTTCTCGGTAAGAGCAGGATGAATTTTATTCTTTAATGAAGGAAATAATATTGCTTTTTGCAAATACACATCATAGTATCAACGCTACTCTTTTGTTACGTTTTGTTCCAAAAATGTTGGATGTCTCTGGGGAGTTGCTTGTTATTTCTTATCAGGAGTTGTATGGTTTGATTGTGTTTCATTCTCAGTTTATTCTGAACTTGCCAAGATTAAGAAAAGGCAAATGAGTTTGGGTGTTCTTAACATGATTTCAGAACGTTGCAGAAGTTAGAAGAGCTTCACAATTCCATTGTGACAGCATGCCCAAATTCAGAACTACTGTACGAACGATCCATGACGATCCTTCGCGATGGTGTGGTCTCATGAAATAAGGAACTTGACGTATTCATAATTCGTGCTAGGAACACACGCGGATTTCGGACGAATAATTTTTGCTTGTATTTTGTAGATAATAATACTTTGTTTCATAATAAACAATTTGTCAAGTGTCACTATTTACTGGTACGTAATAGTGCATGTTTCAGTCCCGCAAATCTTGATTAATATTTGATACGCTGTTTTTTGCATATTTCAGACACATCCAGAAATATGTTCCCGATTTTAAACATTAATATCTCCGTGAATTTTTAAGTGAAATACAACAGTAATATATCAAAATCTAAGTTAGTCCTTCCTCTATTTGATGGAAGTTATTTCTCTTTAAAAGCTTTACTTGTTTAGAAGTTATTACGAATCAAACCGGAGTACTTTTTTTTCGGACACCCGGTAGTTATAGCGAACTACATTTTGCCTAAAAGTAGCCAAGTAGTTGACTACTTTTCAAACAGCAAATCGCTATTCGCTACTTTTAAAAATTGTTAACAACTTGATAGAATAGCATGATATTGAGATACGGTTTGCTTAAAATCGATACTCAATAGTCAATTTGCACTCCTGAGCACTGTAGTGATTACAAAAATGTTGCTTTGTGTTTACTGTTGCTACTCGTAAGTCTATTTGTTATAGGCTACATTACAGTCTGAGTTAGTATAGATGCTCCAAATACAGTAAAACTAAAAAATATAGCGTAGGCGTAGCGAAATAGCGAAATAGTTCGCTACATTTTTTAAGCAGTAGCTATAGTCAGAAGCAAACTACCTTTGTTCAAAAGTAGCAGTACACAGCAAAAAATCAATTTCTTAAGAAAAATTATTTTCTTAATTTAAGAAAATATTTTCTTAAAATGAGAAACTAAAAATATAGCGTAGGCGTAGCGAAATAGCGAAATAGTTCGCTACATTTTTTAAGCAGTAGCTATAGTCAGAAGCAAACTACCTTTGTTCAAAAGTAGCAGTACACAGCAAAAAATCAATTTCTTAAGAAAAATTATTTTCTTAATTTAAGAAAATATTTTCTTAAAATGAGAAACTTATTTCTTAAGAAAATTCTTAATTTAAGAAAATGTTTTCTCAAAATGAGAAAATTATTTCTTAAGAAAAAAATTATTCTTAATTTAAGAAAACTGTTTTCCTAAAATGAGAAAATTATTTCTCAAGAAAAATTACTTCTTGATTTAAGATAACTGTTCTCTTAAAATGAGAAAATTATTTCTTAAAAAAATACTTCGTATATAATATAGTTAATTCCACCATGGATTGTAAAACAACTATATTTATTTTATTATCCATGATTCCACATATAACTGTTTTCTTAAAATGATAAGTTATTTCCTCTAACTGCATGCATGCTTTATTAAAACGAACCTCGTTTTTCAACATAACTCATAAGACGTTTTCTCTTGAAAATATATACATTAATTAACCATTTCTTGATTGATGGAATGATTAATTTCCTCAATGCAGATTATCTTTCTCAAAATAAGGAAGTTGTTTTTGCAATATTCTTGAATTAAGTACAAATTTCACCATGCATGCACATGCATATTACGATTTTTAATCATTATAGTTTCTATATAATTTTTTATACACACAATAATTTCAACTGATCAGGTGTTTCTGTTGTTATTCAGACTCCATATTGTAGTATGAATCGCAATCACATGGATCTCAGCATTTTCATAAAAAGTAAAACCATAATAATTGCCATAATAAGCCAGAGCTTAGAGGAGTAGAGGACTCTGGGTCTCTCCTCCGCAGAGGCACAGCAGAGGCTTTAGTGAGATACATTTCACTACACTTTACATGGCGGATCTTGGAACACGAGCGTAGCCGCTGTGCGAAGGAGCGCAGGCGACTACACGCGTAAAAATCATCATGTTGATGCAAGTTGTTCACAACAGGAGCGAACAATGTTGTGCTGCACCCCGTAAACAATATTGTTAACAATGTTGTTGAACCATCAACGTTGTTGCAACGTGTTGACAATCATGTTATCAACTTGCAACAATATTGATGATTGAACAACTCGGAACAACTTGTTAACAATATTGTTCACGGGGTGCAGCACAACATTGTTCGCTACTGTTTGAACAACCTGATCAATTTTTACCCGTGTACGCAGCAATTTGAACTTGGATCCTTCGGCGGTTTGACTTTGGAACAAAGAGCTTATAGTGTAAATTATGGTCGTTGAAAATGTTAATTTTGGACACCTAAACGCATCTTTACTTGGCCAAATTACTTCTGAAGGCATTGAATATGGTCAGATACGGCAAGGTAATGTTTTTTGTTCATATTTTCTGTGTTAGAAAACCCAGTGTTTTGCAACAACCAGTCGATTTCCCGTCGTTGGTTATGCATCTCAAGTCTCGACTCGGCAATTCTCATTGCTCGTACATATTTTCTCAACAAAACACAAAAATGGCCGGGTAATAAATACCGATTATTGTCAGTTAATGCTAAAATCTCAATTATACAAACAACATGCGGTTTGAACGTGCATATATTCAAGACGATATTCTAGCATGCTGTATGTATATGCACATGTATTCAAAATATGTAAAACGACACCAAATAGTGTGCAGTATTCCTGTTTAATTAAATTTGATTTTGTGTCGACCATTGATATATGCTGATTCAAGTATAAACTCGATAGTTCATAATTTACATTAAAATTTATCGGGGTTGATATTTATGATGTTACTCTGAGTGTGTATCCACACTGGGCAAGCTTGAAAAATATGCCTGGCAAGGGTGGGAATCGAACCTACGGCCTTTGGAATACTAGTCCAATGCTCTGCCAACTGAGCTACGCGGTCAGATTGGTTCGAGTATGTGATATTTCGGAACTGACTCTACTTCCTTCGACATCAATGTAATCTAATAATCATGATCTTTTGTGTGTGTTGGTGTTGTGTACTCAGGTGAATATGATACCGGTATTTGTGATGTTACTCTGAGTGTGTATCCACACTGGGCAAGCTTGAAAAATATGCCTGGCTGTGGGAATCGAACCTACGGCCTTTGGAATACTAGTCCAATCCTGTGCAAAAAAAATCATGATTATTAGATTACCCGACCTGACCGCGTAGCTCAGTTGGCAGAGCATTGGGCTAGTATTCCAAAGGTTGTAGGTTCGATTCCCATGTGGCCAGGCATATTTTTCAAGCTTGCCCGGTGTGGATACTCACTCAGAGTAACATCACAAATATCATATTCACCTGAGTACACAAGACCAACACAAAAAAATCATGTTTATAGGGTTGTTCATATGAGAATGTCTATATAAGGGGCCTGTTTAAATGGAAGCAAGTTACCCGGCAAGGTGAGTTTATATGATACAACCTGGCAACTCACCTTGGCAAGTTCTGGCAGAAAGACACAAAATCTTGCCCAGGTGAAATGACTTATTTTACCATCCATGTAAACACTTTACTCAGGAAAGGTAGAAATCTGTCTTGCATTTAAAATAATAGCTTACAAATAAATATGAACCATTAGATATCAGCTTTCCTGAATTTCTTGGCATTAATTCTTGTATTATCATTATATTTTGTATGTAATGTTTTTTAAATCTTTTAAGCAACTTTGTGTTTTGCACAAATTTATGCTAAGTTTCTGTCTATATGGAATTTGCTTAGCAAATGCTATATAAGCCAATTCCATACAAACAGTAACTTGCCTTGCTTGCATGGCTAACTCACTCGCCTTTGTATTTACAGGCCTCGACCATCCGGCAATCTAGCTGGCTAGTTTCTGTGTGAATTGTAACACACAGGACAGGCTATCCCACAAACTAACAAGAAATTCCCCCCTGCATTATTGGCAAGAAAAAGGAAGTTTATGCTTATTTCTTATGCCTACTTATTTCCAACTGAGGGGATAGAAATAATATCTGGGCTAATTCAGCCATGTTTATCCATTCCTGTTTTGCTTTGAATTGAATACATGTTGATTTTTTATAGATTCTAAGATCATACATAATTTAAAAATTTGCATGGAATATTCAGCTCTGGAAAGAAGTCCAAGCACCAAAGGTTTGTAATTATGAAAATAAATTGGTAAATTCACCCTTACAGATTTATTGCATCCATGTCATTTTCCTGGGTTATAGAAAGTTTTAGGCATAGGTTAATTAGCATAATTATATACTGAGTGAACTTTGACAACATTAGACAGATTTAGATTCAGGATCAGGGCCATATGCAAGATTTTTTCACCAGGGGGCAGTAAGGCCTATATGCCGAAAAAAGTCACAAATATCCAAATAACATTATAAAAATCGTAAATATCGTAAATATAGTTTTCTTCGGGGGCAGTTGCCCCCCCCCCCCGCCGCTGTGTATTGTACGGCCCTGTTCAGGATGTGTGATGGTGTGAAAATATTGCAGTTTATTTAGCTTCCAGATCTGTCCACCATGCAGTAATTGACCTTGTCTTGATGTTCACATCTTCAATTTAAAAGCTCTTTTCCACTCATTGCAAAACCAAGTGACCAGCCTGCTGTGAGTGCTTCCATCTGATTGAAATAAACTGTTGAGCATTGTGATTTGTGATTGGATAATGTCTTGTAGCTAGCTTGCGAGTTGGTTTTTGCCATGAGTGGAGGAAGGTCTTAAGTCTGTTATGTTCACACAGCCAATGTGAAAGTCTATTGTATTTTTACTTTATATTTAAATGACTATGTAATTAATCATATACCATGCATACTGTACATCCATGTAATTCTTTGTTAGGATAACGAAGACCATGAAGTTTGGTGCTCCAAACGTTCTGGTAATGTACCTGTCCTCTTGGTGGAAAAGACGAAATGTTACTGTACCTACAGTGTTATCGTTGGAAAGAGAATTCTGGCGGAAGTGGACGTAACAGAGCTGAATGAAGCACTGCAGTGCTGGCAAGTTTTTATCTTTTAGTTTTTGATTATCCACACTTTCCGGAGATTGGATTAATTGTTCTCCATGAGCATTATGTATTTCAAGACATTAATGTTCCTCAAGAGGTTGCCGATTCATTTCAGTCAGCACTAACAAGTTTCCGAAAATTCAAGGCTGATTTAGAGTAGAACATTGAATTTGGCATGTGTATATGTACTGTTTATACTCTCTCCATTAATTTGTTTAATTGTTTGGTACAGTATATTAAATAGTGTAGACCAGCAGCTAGGTAACTTGTCCTCGTCGCATGCATCCCGGGCAGATAACGGCCAGTCAACAGTCAATGACTGGCTAAAAATCCCTGTTGACCAGTCACTTTATATCCTCATCAGTAGTCATCACACACAAATTCACCTTCATACAAATAATGTGAGTGTGAACGTCTTCAGTGTTTAAAACGTGAAACAATACATATGAGATGTCATGGAGATGTCCAATTTGAATGAGGCAGTACTTGCACTTCTTGCCAGTTTCTACCGTCTGGATTTTGATTATCTGCGGATGCAGAAAATTGATTTGAATGTTTTTCAGAATCAGATATTTAAGACGCAAATGTGCCACAAGACATTGCCAATTTGTTTAAGTCGACGATGACAAGCTACCAGAGTTTCAAAGTTGATATGCAATAAGCTGGTACTAATACAGTATGTACTGTATGATGAATATCATGTGGTATATATTTTTCTGTATGAATATCATGTGGTATATATGTACTGTATGATGAATATCATGTGGTATAATTATTTATATACAGTATAAACTATTGCATGCAAGGTGCCATGTATTCTTTATAATTGCTTCCAGTCTATAATCGATATATCATTACTATAACTTGTTGGTCCTTATAAAATAAAAATATACCTCTTCCTTAAACTAAGAAATTTTAAAGAGAAAATATTTCTAAAATAAGAAATTGAGTTTTCTTATTTTAAGAAATATCTCATGATTTTCTTAAGATTTTCTTAAGAAAAAAATTCTTAAGAAAATTAGTAAGAAAATTTTCTTACCAGTCTCCCAAGAGAATTTGGACTTATTTTAAGAAAATTTTCTTAAAATAAGAAATTTTAAAGGAAAAAATATTCTTAAAATAAGAAATTGGTATTCTTATTTTAAGAAAAATCTCATGATTTTCTTAAGAAAAAAATTCTTAAGAAAATTAGTAAGAAAATTTTCTTACCAGTCTCCCAAGAAAATTTGGACTTATTTTAAGAAAATTTTCTTAAAATAAGTTTTTTTTTTCTTAAAATAAGAAAGTGATTTTTTGCTGTGTAGTTGTAGCTGACTACCTATTTTTGAAGTAGCTGTAGTTATAGCGAACTACAAAAATTTTGTAGTCAACCCACCCTTGCTAAACGCTAAATGGATTTTATACAACCGGCCACTGACAATTAGAGCATATATATACTGAGCTCTATAATTGTGCTAAGCAACAAAACTCAAAATGTTTGTTTGTTTGTTTGTTTGTTTGTTTGTTTGTTAGTTAGTTAGTTTGAAGAAAACACTGTTCCACCTTCTATCCTTTTTCATCCAAATTAAAGGACCCAGCCAAACTCCCCAACGAGACTTTGGACGTCTAACTTGAGAAGTTGTGGGAATTCTGGTTGAACCACGAGGTCTCTCTCATTGACATGAAACTCGGATATTTTGCCCGGATGCATGACGCTTTCAAATGAAAATGAATATTAATTCAGGTTTAATTTCCACCATACATTGCCTGATGAAAAACTTATTTCTATACTTTGTTTGGTTTAACTGTGTTAATACAATATGTATATACTAGATTATATTAAATACATGAAACAAAGGTTTGAGTCATCACGTATTCTCTTTAATTAACAAGTAAACGGTTATCTTAAGATAACTAATTCTTTTCAATGTTTTTTATCAGTATATTCTTTGACAATTGAGAAAATCACTAAAAACACGAGTACGAGTTAAGGATATACTCTGAAACAACCGAAGACGTTCATGGCAAACGTTTTAATTCTTGTCATAAGTTAATGAAGTTGCAGCATTCCCGCATTCCCCAGTTCCCTATTTTTAAAAATAGCCCTTATTTGGCGCCTAAATGGCTAAAAGCAATAGCTTTGTCGGTCTTTCGGGCAGTTTCGGACTGTTCCGTGCTATTGCGGATGTGTTCCGTGCTGTTCCAGATGCGTTCCGGGCTGTTCCGGTGTTGCGGTTTAGTGTTCACTAACTAATCATAGTTGCTTATTTAATTCACATTTGCACTTTTCAAATATTTTTAGGACAACTCCTTACAAAAATATCGAAAACCTATGGACTAGGACACTGGGTAACCGAAGACTTTAAAAGAATCAGCAAACGCGTGCGGAGAATGCATAATGCTGTAGAAATTACTCATCCCTCGTTACTAGCCTTACAGGATCTGATTGAAACCGACCCAGAAGTGTATATGCTCTTTACGACCATGTTTACTCAAAAAGTTGCCGTGCATCCAGGCGAAGAATATCCTGGGAATCCAATCTCAGACTACACGGATATGCTGCAAAAGATGCAAATCATCATTACCAGGGCTCCTGAGTATATATCTAATATATTTAACAGTACGCTTGTTGGTCTACCCATCAATCACCTCCTCAAATATGTGATGCGAACACCCTCGGGAACCATGGCTTTTATCAACGATAAAGTCAACAAATGTTTCAAGGATATTCTCAACGATTGGGCGCAGTTCCTCAACAATGCAGATTCACGAACGGTTTTGAATCAGCAGGTAAATGAGTAGTATAGGGAGGGGGTTCTGCGTCGGGTGGAGCGGGTGGAGCACTAGAGCTCCACCCATTACGTCATTAGCATATCATATCATACCAATTACACGCGCTAGTAATGTATTTAAAGAGTGTGGACCAATGACTACTAGTTAACAATTAGACAACGAGGCCGAGTTGTCTAATTGTTTTAGTATAAACTTTAACATTAATTTACAACTAGGCTGCAAACACAATACAAAAATACACAAAAAACATTATAAAACCATTAAAGGTAAACAAATATTTTAGTTTATGTTCGCGTAAAATGTTTTACAAAATTCAGTTTTAATTTTAAAATTTCATTGAGTGTATGTTTTGTCTATTTTCTTACCCTTAAAAATTGCCATTCCATATTTTTGTTGCTTTTCCGGGATTTTTTAGTACAGAATTGTTCAACAAGTCGTCCAAAAAATCATCAGACACTTCGGCAAAAGTGCAAAACGCGAATTTTCCGCCATTTTGAATTTTCTATTAGTAGGCTATCACTAATAGCCTACTAGTAGCGTAGCCAATCAGAAAGCACGAAATGTGATAGCCTACTAGTAGGTTTATACTAATACGCGATAGCCGAGGAGCTAGGGCATGACTGTAAACACTCGCCGTTCTTTTTTACCATTACACCCGGGGTTTTTTTCTTCAAAATTACACTCGCCGTTATTTTCTCCAGAATTACACGCGGCGTTTTTTCAATGCAATAATTACACGCGACGTTTTTTTTCAATGCAATAATTACACGCGACGTTGTTTTCAATGTATTATTTGCACACGACGGTTTTTCCAAAAATTACACTCGCTCTTTTTTAAAGTTACGTAGTTAAACTGAGGGTTTCACTTCGGATGAAGATGGGAGCAATCATAAGGTTAGTACAGTGTGTTTCATCAAAATAAAAAAATCCGGAAATACAGTACATAATTTCACTTTTCAGTCGGTTATGAATATAATCTATTGTTTTGTTTTGACTTTCGTATTTTCCAAACTAAACAAAAGCTTTAATTGTGTATTTCAGCGTTGCTATATATCCCTGTGCCACATGGAAGAAGTTATTCGCTGACCTCAAAACGACATTTCGTCAAAACATTTTTCTTCAAGATTGGTTTAGAAACAAACCTGGAGTAGGGTTAGGTTAGGGTTAGGGTTAGGGCAAGGTTTAGGGTTAAAGTTGGTGTTTGGAATAGGGTTAGTGTTAGTAAAACCGTTGCTTTGTTACGCTTTGTCACTCTGAGGCCATAGAAATAACCTCTTCACATATATATTGTCGTAACACATGTATACCACCGCCATTTCTTGTTGATTTTGTTCTATCACTGTAGGCGTATATATGATATGGCAAGACACATATACATTTTATATATGAAGAAGTGCAACATGGAAAATAACTATGTTATGACCCTGGCAAAACACACCAAGCTTTTGTTTATATAGGTTGGAAAACACAGCAGAAAACAATGCATTATATTCATAATTAACCGACTGAAATGTGAAATTTTGTACTGTATTTACATGATTTTTTTGTTTTGGTGAAACACCCTAACATTATGATTGCTCTCATTTTCATCCGAGGTGAAACCCTCAGTGTAACAACGTAACTTTAAAAAAAGGGCGAGTGTAATTTTTTGAAAAAAACGTCGCGTGCAAATAATGTATTGAAAAAACGTCGCGTGTAATTATTGCATTGAAAAAACGTCGCGTGTAATTCTGGAGAAAAAACGGCGAGTGTAATTATGAAGAAAAAACGAGTGTAATGGGGGGGGACTGCTTTTGTTTACGGTACTTGCATTGCTGAGTGACGAATCATGACGAATAGAGCTTACGCTAAGAACAATGGAGATGGAATTCTGTGTAGAATCTGTGGTAATGGTAAAAAAACAGCGAATGTTTACAGTCATATAGCCCTTTTCGGCCATTGTATACCTAGCATCCTAAGAAAATATTTACAGTTTAATACTTTGCTAATATTTATCCACACATATATATATGCCTTCTAACAAACTGAGTGAATTTTAACGCTTTCTCTCGATATATATTCTACTAAAGTTGTTGTCATGGCTAGAAATGAAGGACAGTATGGCGGCTGGCTTTGTCAAAATTTGCGCAGATCTAACAAATTTTAAGAATTCAAGATGGCGGAAATATAGAGCGTTAATAGTATAAACATATAAAATCGATGCGCATACAGAAAGAGTGTAAAATTTTCAAGTTGCCCACGTCTACAAATCTATAAAATACCTCAATAGTGTTGTCTTGCAAACTCTCGACGTCTCACGATTTGCTATTAGTCGGCCCGAGTAATTAACTCCCTTTGCCAATATTTTCTGGTAATTTAAACTCCATTGAAAACATGAAATCCGAGTTTGGGTGCTATGTTCAGTCCGGTATAGTGTCGTTCAAAAAGAAGTCAGATAAAATGCCCACGTCTATATTTTCTACACGATGTTCAAACTGCCATTTTGCGTTGCTTTGGAAGCCTCTTATCTTGTATTCGTACGGCCAAATGGTTTTAAAATCGTCTGCTTTTTAACAAACTGCAAGCTTGAATTCTCACAACCGCAGAGCTTGTAGTGAAGAACAGCTGCGAAATTTCCCAAAATTTCGTTCGTACAACTGTGGCTTTTACGTCATTTTGTAAACATTGATGCTAATAGCCGCTGGCCGATAAAAGGAGATACACGATGGCTCAAATATAGCGCGAAAATTGAAAATAATAGAGCGAAAATTGGAAAATTTTTACAATATTTTGCTGTGGAAATCTTCCATTTACGAGACGTCCCTTGTGCTTAAAAGTCGACCGTACTCAAATTACGCAACAAATGATGAAAAGACATATTCAATATTCATAAAAGACTTAATAAAAGGCGTAAAATGCAAAATATATTCACTCATGTGAACTAATTTTATCATTCCTTAGTCAGCGCAGTGTGTCGCGGGCGCGTAATTTCCCTAAATTCGACGCACGATGCGTGGCGCCGACTGTCCTTCATTTCTAGCCATGAATGGTTGTGGAGGAGTAACTTTGTAGAAATTCGGAACTAAAACCATCCGAAGTGGTACGAGAGACAATTCTTGAAGGACTGAAAGCGGAAGATGTAGACTGGGATGAGCTGGAGGAAACAGCTGATACGCTTCCTGACAATAAGAAGATTTCCAACCTGAAAGCTAAACTGAATAACGAAAGCAACCCAGCAGGACATAGCTTTTGATGCAGTTGCCCACCTTAAACGGAAGTCAGACGAGAAAGATGAGTTTTTATTTGTACAAAATGAATAACAGATGTATGAATCCTGACGAGCCTTCCTACGTATTCAAGACTAGTAAATTAAAAGACAATCTTGCGCGGAGTATGGGAGATAATGATCACTTCCTCTCACGTGAGTATTGCTACATTGATGGGAAGGTCAATCGTTGCAAAGATTTTCCAACGATTACATTAAGTGTTTATCGTCCAATTCTACGAAAACAAATACCCTTGTTCACGATGGAATGTTCACACTTATAAACTAAACTAGAATTACATGCATGCAGCAACCCCTCGCCCATGTTTTCCAAACATTGATTTAACATGGAGTATTAGTAATTGATCAACACTGAAGAACACTGGCTCGCGTTTACGTCAGTGTTGCCATGGCAACACGATAAGATAATTTAAAATTTTATTATACTTTTGTACAAGACGGCAAAAATAGTCGAAAAATTCTTGCTTTTAACTATATAAAAATGACTTTCCGAAAAATGTACTGTAGGTATGTTGTTCTGGATTTTGTGAGCTTTGATTTACTGTAAAATTTAACCTGAACTGCTTCGTAAAATGTTTTGAAATGTTAATTTTAATAACTAAACTGCTTTTGCCGATAAAATGTTTTTATTTCAAATTGTTGAATAATTTAATTTAGATCATCAAATTATAATTTGCTCTGCTTTACATTTACCTTTTTTTCTTAAATTAAACAGGGTAATCTAGGAAACTTACAGCTTCTTTGAAAAGGAAAACAGCAGTGTATGTTTTACGCAATAAAATATTAAAGCAACAAAATTCATAATCATAAACATTAAACATTCAAAGCGAACTTGCCCTATATTTCACGATTTTCCATGGTAAATGAATTCTCAAAAATTCTCTAAATCAAAAATTGCTTCAAAGCACGAACCATACAGGAAACCCAATGACGATCCATTGTACATCCACAGACACTCAAACCATCCACCAAGCATTACAAGACAATTACCTACAGCTATCAACAAACGCATTGCACTTCTCTCCTCGGACGAACAAACATTTAAGGAATCCACACCTATTTACCAGAACGCTCTTACACATAGTAACTTTGATCATGAATTTACGTACACTCAGGATGCACCGCAACGGACACGTAGGAATAGGCAACGCAACATAATTTGGTTCAACCCACCATTTAGTAAGAGTGTTAACACGAACATAGGACGGAAAATCTTAAGTTTAATTGACAAACACTCCCCACTACAGCACAAACTACACAAGATTTTTAACAGAAACACTTTAAAAGTAAGTTACAGTTGCATGAACAACGTTAAGTCTATAATCACCAAACACAACGCACATATAATTAGGAACAGTCAATCACAGAATACGGAAACTGACAACTGTAACTGCGACAACAAAAACACTTGCCCACTACCGAAACAATGCATGACCAGCAACATTATTTACAAAGCAACAGTCACAACGAACAACACGAACGACACTAAACACTACATTGGTATGACAGCGACTACATTTAAGGAACGTTACGCTAACCACACTTCATCTTTTCGTCATAAAAAGACTCAAACAAAACGGAACTTTCGAAACATATTTGGAAATTAAAAGAAAACAATCAGGATTATACCATCAAATGGTCAATTTTAAAACACGCTATTTCGTACACAGGGGGATCAAAACGCTGCAATTTATGTTTGGAAGAAAAAATTTGCATTTTGAAACACATAAACAAAGACAATTTACTCAATAAAAGAAGCGAAATTTTCGGCAAATGTCGTCACAAAAACCGGTTTCGAGTAAACAAGGTCGTTAACAAAACCTAATGACCCAAGCATGCATTATAATAATAATAAGCATTGTTTCGCCTACACGCATTCCGAACATTCTTTCGATAGCATAAAAGCAACCTACAATTTCGAAATTATTCACCACCTGATGATTCCTATACGGATGAAACAGACTGTTGTGGTTTTTGAGGTAAAACGAAAAACTATATTACGCTCTATCTATATGGTATTGAGCACTGTTTGTGTTTCGTAAACCAAAATCTTAAGCTATATATATATATAATAATTAGGCTAATTATCCTCTGTGACAATGTCTTGACAATTTGTTGAGCCAAAAACTGCTTGATCTTGAAAATTTGAAATATTTTTGTTTGACAACTCGAAGATGAAGTGAAAGAAATGGTTTTAGAACCAGTGTATCTCACAGAAAAGCTCAGATATATTATACAGATGTTTGGTAATATGCCAGACCATGCCAGAGCGCTCAAACTGCAAGCAGTGAGCGTGCGCAATGCGTAAGCGGCATGGCTCATCCTGTAGAGCGCTCAATATGACCTAAAGGCCATAGAGCGATATCTAACTACACTAATTATATAATACACACTCCAGAACATTTTCATCTTAATATATGTATATATATATATATATATTTATTATATGGATATGAATAAAATACCGTAAAATACGCCACTGATATTTTCCGTATTTCACTATAGTGAAATATGAAATCATATCTTACGCGGGAACGTCTCGCGCGGGACCCACGCTAATTCCCGCCATTTTGCCGTTTCTGTTTTGAATATACAATATGACAACTTCTCGACATTTTGTTGATGTTTTCGACGCTGATTTGGCAAGGTTTTCTGAAGAAAATGAAAACACAAAAAGGAAGACTAATTAGTCCTATTTGGCGATCTTCAGCGACTATTTAGCCTCGATTAGCAAGCGGAGAGACATAAACATTGTTGCCGTACGGTGAGCTACAAAACAAAAAAAACAAAACTTGAATAAACTAATAAAGTCATACGTTTTGTTATTTTTGCTTCAACTTTTATCCATATAATAAAAATGCCACCGTGAAATATCCTCTATATATATATATATATATATATATATATATATATATATATATATATATATATATATATATATATATATATATATATATATATATCTTAACCATAACCTCATGGTCTTAGAAAATAGCTACAGACAATTAAATGATATCAAGCTTTACTACAGATAATACTACAGATTGAGGATAAAATTCATACTGGTGTTTTAGAGACATACTTTAGTGATCATAAAGCAATATGGGCCTCTCGCAAAACATAGAAGTAACAACTACATCCTTACTGCTAACATGGCTAAAATAGTACAGGTTAAGTTTTGTATACCTGAATTAATATTAAAGCAATGGCATAACTGTGTCCCATTAATCCAAAACAGAACTAACTATACCGAGTGTCCCAAAAAAAAGTACTCCGGTTTGATTCGTAATAACTTCTAAACAAGTAAAGCTTTTAAAGAGAAATAACTTTTATCAAATAGAGGAAGGTCTAACTTAGATTTTGGTATATTACAGTTGTATTTCACTTAAAAATTCACGGAGATATTAATGTTTAAAATCGGGAGCATATTTTTGGATGTGTCTGAAATATGAAAAAAAACAGCGTATCAAATATTAATCAAAATTTGCCCAATTGAAACATGCACTGTTACCATTAAATGAATGACACTTGACAAATTGTTTATTATGAAGCAAAGTATGATTATCTACAAAATACAAGCAAGATTTATTCGTCCGAAATCCGCGTGTGTTCCTTAGACGAATACGTTTCCTTATTTCATGAGACCACTGCATCGCGAATTAAGGATTGTCATGGATATCGTTCGTAGTTCTGAATTAGGGCTTGCTGTCACAAAGGAATTGTGAAGCTCTTCTAACATCTGCAAAGTTCTGAAATCTTGTTAAGAATACTCAAACTCTTTTGCTTTTTCTTAATCTTGTTAAGTTCAGAATAAACTGAGAATGAAACACAATCTAACGGCCATACAACTTCATAAGGCATAACAAGCAACTCCCCAGAGACATCCAACATTTTTTGAACAAAACGTAACAAAATAGTAGTAGCATTGATACTGTGATATGTATTTGCAAAAAGCAATATTATTTCCTTCATTAAAGAAATCCTGCTCTAACCGAGAAATAATCAACTCTGTGTTGAACCCTTGAAAAACATAAAAAAGTTAGGCTA